CAAGCCTGGCATAGGCCATGCCTTGAGGGACGACAACAGCGCCGACGGTGATACCTTTATTCATTAGTGTCGGGTAAGGAAGAAAGATAGGCCGACTTACCGGCAACGAGATCTCCGATGAGCCACTGAAGATTGTAACGAGTGATCCAGTGTACAAAAGGGAAGAGACTGTAGATGTACTCGCTCAGCTCATGCCTGTTTGGCAAAGTGTGCTGTAGCCACTCCATGGCCGTAGGTTCGTTTTCGACATACGTGTCGGCCGAGTCGATAGAGAAGACGCTCTCGCCTCGTGTAATGCGGTCGGATCCAGTCTCATTACGGTAATGCAGGTCAATACCGAGGACTTTTGCAAGGCCGTGGCCGACCCTGGTGGCTGCGGTAGCCATGATATGGCTTGGAAGTTCTTCCTCTTGGCGATATGATGCGGATGGAGGACAGCGCGTCAAGGAGCCAAGATGAGATGCGTTGCGCTGAAATAGGTCGATAGACAAGACCGAACAAGCTTCAGGAAGCTACCACAAATAGGTGCCAGGCGTGCGGGAGCCTATGTATGACGGAGACTGCGCGGGTGGGACCACAAGGGATATGTGCTGGACCCAATGAAGTGCGAGCTGATGTTGGGCTGCGCCAATAGGTGGTCGTGTTGTGCAGGATAGGATTGTGATGGCCTAGCAGATATCGATGTCGAGCCAGTTTGAGAGACGCCTCCGAATTGCTTGACTTGGAGGGGGGATTGCGTGATCGGCTACCACTGCACGATTACAGAGTTAAGTGACAAATGCGACAAAGGGACGGAATGGGGGTCCCTGTAGTGGTGGTGCTGCGCAGGGTGCCAGAGTGCTAGAGCGGCAGGGCATACGAGGTAGATGGACGCATTCTGTACCGCTGTGATTTAGAAGCCGCTCGAACCAGTGCAAGACTCTGACAGATGACATAACGGTAGGTGCCGGTAATCATTGGGGTCTGGTCGGGATGTGCACGATGGTGACGCTTTTGCCGCAAACACGGCGACGACGGATGGAGAATTGGGATTCACTTGCAGGGTTGCTGAGCGGCGGACAAGGATGGCGCATTAAGGATGTGATGGTCGCTGACCTAGGCGGGCTAGCACCCAATGGAAGGCGGCATTGTCCCAATTGCGTGCTCGAAGCTCCAGATGTCGTCTTTGCCCTGAACTGAACGCCGAGTTGAGTGCGCTTGGCGCTGCGATGCACCACAGTAATCTTCAGGTACATCTCTCCTCGCCGCTCGACTGACGCTTGCGGGCCGCCCATTGTTGAGATTTCCGAGTCGTCCCCACAACAGCTCTTCGCATGGATAATTATTTCGCATGTCCATGTCTGTCACTGCAGCACCGCCCAGTAACTTCCAAGAACATTGCGATTTTCCAGTCCCCACTACGCCAATACCGCCATGACGCAATGTCGGCAAAAACATGTCCCTACATAATGTGTTGAGATAGATCCGGGCTCGACAGGCGGGATCTAGTACCTTCATTCGGGTCGTGGGTGGATCATTCGGTTGCATCTCCGGGTAGAAAATAGGTGTACATTGCGGCTAGATCTGGGGCTCGTAGGGTTGAATTAAGCTTTCAGCGCATGAGATCGCACGTTGGAGCACGTTGCGATGATGTCAAGCGACACCCTCTGATTCGCCAAGAAGTTAAGGATGCAAGGAAGTACCGGACGTATCGAAATTCAGCTTTTGTGTATAACAGTAGATATCAGAATTCGTCTTGTCCGAGTTCTCGTGCTCCTTTGTCAAAGCAATTGCATACTTGCCATTACACTGCCAGTAACTTTGTCATCAAATTTTAATGCTTAGGAATGACATATGAGCACAGTGCGATTCCTAGTGAATGTTACAAAACGCACCAGACCCTAGATGAGAGAGTTGAAAGGAGTTGCTCACCAGTTACACATGACTCGTGATGCTTTTGGCTGCAAGCCTCTTCGTCAGGTCCTTCATAAATCTCTGCTGCAACACGAGTGTGACCTGCTCATTGGATTGGTAATATGGCATTCGGTCCTGGGTCCGGCATCTTTTCGATGTATATGCACATCCACTTTGTCGGCTTTTCCAATGGGTTCTAGCGAAACTAACTTTTCAATGAAGCATCTCATGCCGAACAAGTGCCATGGATCATGTGGCAAATCAAGAGATTCCTTGAGACCACCAGCAAGATATTCGAGTCGATCGACGATGTGGGGTAGGCCTTCGACAATGTCAAGATCAATCTCATGTCGCGCCATCGATGGCAAAAGATATGGCAGTAGCGAAAGCCCGTGACCAATGTCCCGCGACACTGTGTACTTGGGTCATCCGAGTAAAGTGTATGCCCACTAACAATCACACATTCCAGCCGAAAGTGGCTGATGCGCCCAAGGATATCCTTGGGTTATGATTTGCGTAGTGCCCGGAGGTGGTATAGGTGTGACTGTAGCTCGCTGACAAGGACTCAGTTAATTGACAAGCTGGTCAGATGCTCCACATTTTCATCGTCTATTTCGTTTGATCCCTTCTTCATCTCGATAAGTGCAGTTAAAGTAGGTGCCAGAAGGTTGCCAGACCTGTCGTGTGCATACTCGCTGAGCGCAAACTCGACGCGGACTTTACGCTCTTCGCTGGAGTTGGTCGTCGCATGGCGGTATATGCACTAGCACAGCTCGAGCGGCAGGGTCATCACTGACGCAGAGAGCGTAGCCATGGCCGTCATGGTTGCTGCAGTGTCTGTTTGTGGCGGACTCGTGTGATCTATGCTGATACCTGTGGTGAGAGAGACTTAGAGAAAAGCTTGGAAATGAAGTTTGTGAGATGATGATGATGAAGTGTGAAAGATACCGAGCTAAGTACGTGCATTGGTGAGATGTAACACGAATTCCCGTCTTGAACTTTTACAACAAACATGAGCACCAAAGCAGATTGACAGAGAAGCCGCTGATCGCCTTTAAGCTACCACGAGATAACACATCTGACACTTGCACCGCATCAATGACCATTCAATGCGAGCCTCGATCACTTTCCTTTCCATAGCATGTAACAAGCCAATGTACCTGGTGAATGGGTATATTTATGCTCAGCGAGATCTTCAAGATCATGAACGAAAAGAGTACACTACTTCTCTCATACAAAGCTTCTCCAGGCTCCTGCTAGTCTTGTGAATTGTACAAGCGTGACCAGCCACGAAATTTCCCTACTCCTCTGAACCATCCTCTGGCAGCTTTCCCAACACATCCTCCACAAGTGCAATCAAGTCATCTACGTCCGGCCTGTCGCTCGGCTCCAGCCTCAAACATTGCCTTACCACCTCCTTCACCGGTTCACTTATAGTCTCCTCGGTCTGCTTCGCCTTGCCTCTTTGTGGGCCTTCGTCTGGGAATCTCCAGTCTCCACCCAACACGCAAATTGACAAACTGCCACCCGTCTCATCTGAACGGAACTCGAAAGGGCTCTTGCCAACCAGGCAAGCATATAGTGTACAGCCAAGCGACCAGATGTCAACCTTTGTGTCGATTACGGAGCCGGTCTTGACGTCGAAGAGCTCGGGCGCGCGGTAGGGCATGGTCGAGTGTTCTGCGGCGGTATCTTGGACTTGTAGGGCGAGGGAGCGAGATGTGATTGGTGTTGGAGAGGGTGCGAGAGAACCTAAGTCCATTAGGATGGGGGATTTGCCATCGTCGTCGATCATGATGTTGCCTTGTGACATCTGTTAGCTCAACCACGTTTGGAACCATGCCTCGTCAAGTGAGAAGGACATACCAGGCTTGATGTCACGATGCGCGTACGCTCGCTCTCCGCCCGGCGCAATTCCTTCTTGCGCCATGGTAACTTCCGACTCCTCCAAGAGCCCCTCCGCCTCCTGTTCGTCATCATCGTCGTGCTCGCGGTGTTTCCTGCTCGGTCGCATCTCCATGCTCTCTGCCGCCTGCGCATCTGCTCGCGCCGCCTCGCGCCTCACTTTCTTCGCCTTGTTCTCGCTCCGCGCGCCGCCGGGCCCGCCCTTGATTTTATACTGATGCATCGCCTTGAGCGCCCTACACACACCAAGGAACAGCTCCATGAGTCTGCGCTCGGGGAACTTTGTGTGGTTTACGAGATTGGCATTGATCATATCCTGCAGATTGCCCCGTCGATAATACGGCAGCAAGATGTAGACTGTTTTCGCGGAGGCATCGGACTTGTCTGTTTCAACAGAATAGTCTATCGAATGGATAATGTTGGGGTGCGGCGAGAAGAGCGTGTAAGCTTCGACTTCCTTGAGCGCAAGGGAGACGCTTTCTTGACCGAAGGGACATCGTATCTTCTTGAGGGCGAGGAGTTGTTGATTTGAGTTGTCTTGCACGAGGTAGACATAAGAGAAGCCGCCCTATGGTCATCATCAGGGAAAGTATGGAAACATGGTTGGGAGAACATACTTCACCAAGTAATCGCAAGATCTTAAAGCTCCGGCTATTGATCTTGAGTTGTGGAGAGGATGGAAAGCAGACCATACAGTTCGTGAATGAGTACACGACATCGAGGAAATATGTTCCCAGTGACCCCATTGTCGCAATTGAACCAGGCGTGCAGCTGTGTTGTTTGTGGAGCTGTTGACAGCTTGCGAGCTGGATGCCGAGCAACCGAAGACAGACTGCGCCGTGCGAACCGATCTGGTGAAAGCTGTGATTTATCGCAACGTAGGAGAACGGAGGGTATCGTTGGTCTTGCGAGCTTGTTTATACCCGTGTGGTAGAGATTGATGTGTCCTGGATTGTGTAGGTAAGACAAGACGCGCAGCCCGTTGGTCGCGGAGCTGACGCAAGGTGCTAAGGCCGACAACGCCAATGCGCCAAACCAGCACGACTCAGGGCCGGAAGCGAGGGGCCTCGCTGGCTGATACATCGCATGTGAAAATCGAGATTCCCAATTGAGCGAAAATTGAAAGTGAAGCAAGAGAGCATCATGCTCGTAATAAACTTATGGCTATATTTCATTTTGTTTTACCACCTATCATAACAACAGGGGATGTGGCTCAGTGGTAGAGCGTCCGCTTTGCATACTCTGTATGAAGTTGCGGAAGGCCCAGGTTTCGATCACCTGCTTCTCCAATGTGAAGCGCAATTAAGCGTTCTTTTTGATCCTTTTTGCTCCGTGGTGCTGGTCACATGCGTGGAGAAATGGCCGAGTACGCTGTACGGCCTCTGGCGTCTTTTTGACTGTTCACAAGGCCCGTGCGCACGGGATTGGGCGCAGAACACCAAAATCTTCGACGAACATTTCAATACATACATACGCTGCCTCGCTCACTAGCATTCCTCATTCCTGATTTCATACACATGCCACGTTTCGCAACACTAGACAATAGATGTATCACTATGTCGCTGGACTCAGCTCGGGAATTGAGTTTTAGCCGACGATACTACCTGGCGTGAGGTCGTTTAGTCAGACGAAAATCCAATCTGTGTAACTCATCCGAACCTGGAGGCAGTTGACAATGCCAATAGTAGTACTGTAAGGAAGACGGTTGCATGTTGATCATCTACCTTTGGAGACGGTATGCCCCCACCTTGCTGAAGCCTACCTACAACGTATATGAAGGCGGGAAACAGGTCGACTATATGACTTCTGCATCATCAGGCTCTAAGTCTCTGAGCTTTTTGAAACACACTACGAGCCTCTATTAGATCAGAGTTAAGATGACATTATTGTGAATGTAATCTCAATCATGCTGGATTGTATATCTGTATGAAGATTTAAACGTCGCTATTTATTACCAAGACACCTTTCGTGCTTGCAGTTACAATATCCGCAATTTGTGTGAGGAGAAAGTGTATGTCTAAGTCTATCAGACCTTGATCAATTAATAAAAACCGTTGGAGGGCTAGATATATATTTATACCCGTTTCGAGAATGTGGGTCTCCACAGCCTATATTTAAGAATTTGGCTAAAACTCCACCAAGCTCTTACCTCATGACACATATCTTACGTTACCTTGTCTCTTATGTCTGTATTCTGCTTAGATAACCCAATTATTAGCTATCTCCGGTCATGGTCGCTGCATACATAGCTACGTTCAAAGCTTACTCTAACGGTTGAGAAAGAACATTGAAAGCGAGGCTCACTGAAGCGATATGTCGATAAATTATATTGCGCAGAAATTCAGCTTGCCTTCTCATTACATTTCTCTGCTGTGTGCAGAATCTATTCAAGGACACTCAATCTTCAGTCAAGTCAGGATAGTCGCTGTTCACATGACTGTAAATCAACCTTGCTCGATTAATCGTCATCAACCATTGCCGTGATCATCCATGCTGAGATCTCGATGTGCCAAATAAGCGAGCCTAGTGGTGCAGGACGACACCTTGTCGGCTGCACGCTACTTCGTCAAAGATTAGACAAGTCCCTTCCTTGCTCTGCTTAAGGCCTATCTAGATATGCTGAGATTGAGTACAAAATCTGACCACTGTCTATCGTGTGCTCTAGAGTGTAGTAAGGTTTCCTGTATCTTAGTGCGCATGCCTTGTTCACACTGTGGAGTCGTCGGAGGCACTGCCGAATGGCGCACATGCTTCAGATTGGTCGTCGGGTTCGGGCTACAAAGGTGTGTTCACTTTATCGAATACAGCTTCGAAGTCATAGCGGATGTTATCGTCACGTCGTTTGAATGTGCCGCAAGGTATCTACACTGTGGAATCGACAAATAGGTTCTTTGCTAGGTGCCTCTCAATGTCGTGGCGCCCCGACTCAAAACTGGGCGGAAGACTCCTGTATGCGATACCCTGTTCCCCCAAACGTACTAAGAGCACCAGAGGTAGCTCATTTAGACCTCAATTGAGTTTGAAGCTTCTTCTACTGTTGTATCAATTGGTGTATCGTGACGTTCAGCCAGAGTTGTGAGCTTGATCAGCTGCCCAATTGTATTCAAGACTACCCCTGGGCTCGCGAAGCCTGTCATGTGGCTGATGGCATCAACGTCCCCACTCACCAGAAAAACATGGACGACAAAATATCGAAACAGCGCAAACGTGACAGTCGGAGTGAGCTTGTACTAGACTCATAAGTCTTAAAGACACCTCTTGGGCAACGACATTTCTCTAAAGTGAACTCCGTCGTTGCTTACATTCAACACAAGACGTTTGCAGCCATATGCATTCTCAATACCAATGGCGACCGGATATAGTCCTATTTCATATGTTCTGCTTAATCATCTAGCTCCTATGTTCGAAGTCCCGGATTCACGGTGGTTGCGGAGCAAGCACAAGCATGTGGGTGGTAATCAAAGTGTCTGCGACGTCAACGAAGCATTTCGCATCAACGTATGATGTTTTACGACCTTATATCCCTAGAATAAGATCCTGAATGAGATGTGGTAATACCTGGACATTGGATGTAAGAGCGCTGCTTGATGAAGAACATGCCTCATCTGCAATCAGAATGGAAGCATAGGCCAGTTGATTGGTATGTTTGCCCTTACCTGATATAGCACGCAAAGCATCCCACGTGCTCAAATACCAGCTGATTTGTGGTTATAAGTGCTCGCCGTGGCGTTACGGATGATGCAGACGCGAGGCTGGAAGAGGTGCTTTGGGGGAAAGTGCACACCACTGAAAGGCAGCTCAACATTAAACCTCAACACGTCTTCGTAAGCAGCTCCTACATAAATGTCACTTTCGCAAGACTGCTGACAGATAGACTTCCTGCGACAGGCTAGTATTTGGTGATGCAGGCATGTCCCGTCCCGCCAAAATAAACACTCTCTCTTAGCGTGTAGTACACGCCGCAACAAGTGATAAGAGTTCAAACTTCTAATACAAAGCTCTATAGTACCTCATCAGCTCATCATAAGGATCTTGCATAGCTACAACCATCGCCAGAAAGGAGCACCTTTGTACAAGTAAAGGACTTTGGTTGAGCACGAGCACTGTGAAAATCAATGTCATAATTGTGCTGGGAGCTTGGTGCCCCTACGTAGAACACAATAGTATCGAGTGTGCCACGACGCATATCCATCCTTTTGCATTGATTCGTCATGCTTCAGACCGAAATATACGAGTCATTCGCTCAAGCAGATACACTGAGGAGGCGCGATCGCCAGCATCGCCCGCGCATCTCTGTCAACCTTGACGCATCACTCACGAGTCCTCTCGCTGCTCTTCTAGCTATCCCTAGCATCTGTTACCCTTCGGATACTTTAATCGCGGACCATCAATCCCAATGACGCATGCGAGTGTCCTTTTGTGCACGCCTAAGGGATCATCGTCAAGAATCGTCGGCTGGTCACCTCAGAAACGCTGTTTCATGCCAAATTTACCCGCCACCGGTGAATCTAAGAGGCTAGCTGAACAAGAAAGGCACACCGCCTACTGCTCAGTGTTCTGTCTGGCTTGGTATGGCCGCATTGATGCGATCGCAATTCCTTACGAACCACGTTCACAACTCGTAGACTTTCGAACGAATGGAAGGTTGCCATGAGAACTATCTAAAACAAACGTCAAACAGAAACTGACTCGAAATTCTATTACTGTCATTCAAATATCCGCTTTTGTTGCGAAGTCATGTTGGTGGCAAACATCAAATCTCGCTTCACGAGCCGCTCGGAGCGCCTCAAGGCTGGGCCCCAGCTTCAACAGAAAGGCGGCCTCTCTACTGCCCATCATGTCAAGCGCAGGTAAATTAAGGCACCGATATGTTCGAAAGAGCTTGTCGTCCGGCGTCGCTACGCCAATCGGACGCGTGCCTTTGTTGTCGTTCGGGGAAGTGATGCCCGCGGGACGGTGCCGAATCCCGCTGGCTTTGGCAAACGCAGCCCGGACCATGCGATGGAAGGTGCTGGACGCTTCGAATAAGTATTGGAATTTCAACACGTAACAGCTATGGTATTGGGGTGGCCACCCGATCCAGTACAATACAGTCTGCAGACATGGTCTTTTGCTTCATTGAACTTCTCTTACGTTGGTGCCAGATTACCCCACGGAGAACCCGTTGAAAGAATCGTAGATGAACTCCAAATCGTGGAGAACATTTCTGGGTTCGTAGAATGTCATGGACAGCCTCCATGCTGCCTTGTGTGACGCTGGGCACGGGCGATGTGGACGCCTGCAGCCAGGGCCCGCGATCGATGGATTAGGTCACAGTGGCTGAGGCCTTAAGGTCTCGTGCACGTCTCGAAAGCACCATCTGCAGTACTGTGCCAATATCAAATGATCGGTGTGCTCGACAGGATGAGAGTGTTGATGCTGAAGTGGTGTTCCCCTTATCCAAGCTTTCCAGCATCTCGCTTGCGAATCCAGCATCGAATCGCAGGTCATATGAGGCTGTACTGAGACGTCCCTAGGGAATGTGCTGCGGTCTTCGGGGCGTCCTATATGTTCGTGTTTCAGGATGGCAAAGTATGGCGTCCGTGGTTGGTACCGATCGTCTGAGGAGTGACTTAGCAGGACCCATGGGTTCCGAGCTTGACTCATTAGACGCAAGGAGATGCGCTCGAGATCCCAAATAACAAGTGACCAGATAACGAGGCCCTGGAGATGTCCTAAAGCCAGTATTGTGAAGCACTCATCCAATCGCTTGCCGATGAGACCGCCTCAGGCTGCCTTGACGTCCCTGCTCTTGAATACCCTCTTCGAAGAATTGTTGAGGGTGTAGCCGCATCAGTTCCCGACTGAATCTGTTTTTTCGACTTCTTACGGAGCAATGTATGTGTCTTTATCGCGCAGCTGCTGCAGTGTGATCTGTCGCAGCCTTCCTTGCGCACGCTGCGGAAGATCAAACGCGTGACTTGTGTCCCGCGAGGAGTAACGTACGTATGAGTAGCATGTCGATGGCGATGTTAGCTGATTGATATCCAAGGAACAGACCTCACGAGACACCTGTCTTCTACATGCCACCGGGCCCACCCGCGCCGTGCTTAAACCGCTGCCGCTGCGAAGTACCGAGGCGCGCCAATGGAGAAATCACAATCCTTCCGTCACTCCCAGCGACCCGCAATGTCTCTTCTAAGCGAAGCGAAATAGTCCCTGGACATCGATCGGAGGTATACCTGCTTTGTTTACCAATCTTAGACACTCCGAATACATATTCAGCTTTCGAGACACGATGGCGAGACGA